TGTCCAACTAACTGTCCTCCAAAGACCTTTCCAAATTTTGGAGCATCTGGCAAAGTGATTCCTTGAAATATATTCAGCTGCAGAATAAACATAAGCAACATCATAGCATGTTTCTTCACCTACTTCAGACAAAAACTTAAGGATGGACACCATATTATATCAGAAGAAATTTTGTTTAGACATCTAAGTCCCTCATCACAAAAAATTTTGACATATTTAAGACTATGATATTTGGTACTGATCTGGGTGTCAGGGAAATTGCAATCGAAAACATTAAATTCACCATGAATTCATGACAAAACTGTTTTAATTTAAGTTGAGAGCAAATGTAAAGTCTATGACAGTTCCATAATTCTAATACAAAATTTAACCACACTATACTCTAAAAGAAAACATGTTATCCATAAATAGAACTTAAACAAAATGAAACTAAAATTATTTGGAAATCCAAAATTTTTCAACCAATATCCCAATGAGTATACAGCCAGTGAGTGATAACTTGATGTTAAGGCTGAGAATATAAAATCTGAATGTTCCAAAAGTATCTACAGGAGATTAGGATCCTATAACTGTAACAGAATGAGTGAATTTATCATTGCAAGGTTGAACATTTAAATGAAACTATGCTAGCAACCAAAAAATTTATAGATGCATCCATGTTATAAGCATAACTTGAATTGAAAAAATCACATGACAACAAAATAAACGTACTTCCATTGGCTCCAAATGCAATATATGCTCCACAGCTGCACAGGTGTCAATTGTCTTATCTGCACTCCAGATTGATTTTGCCTCCAGCAAAGCACAGTACTTGTGAGGTAGCACCAAGCAGATCAGCTGTAATTGCAGATAACAAATATTCAATATCAGCTTCAACCTTGAGTGCACTTTCATATGTTTGAGCTGTTGGTAAGATGTAACTGCCACAGAAATGGCAGAAAAGAAAAGAGATGTTGCTACCTTAGTTAAAGCAATGATATCCGCTGGATGAACAGATGTGGAAATACCTGCAAAACAAAGTTCATATTATTATTCCAGGATGAATGTTGATATTATTGGATGGCCTTGAGCCACCCCTACATACATGATATTCATAAAAAGGAAAAAGAAACTAATTAGATAAAAAAAAAATGCCCTATGCTTTTGAATGACAAAAATAAACATAAAAAGAAAAAGATAAAAAGAAATCTACCAAAAAGAGGATAATAGAAAACAAACTGTTTTGAAGGGCTATTAAATAAGTGTGAACAACATCTAACTCATCTGCATTCTGTCAAGAGACAGCACACTCAACTACTAACTGATTGATGTGGATTACTATAATATTAAGGGAAAACATCTAAAAAGACTGGAAAGAAGTTTACAGTTGTCTCGTAATTGCAGAAAAACATGAAATTTATGAAAGTAAACAAGAAACAAACAAAATGGTCCATGAAAAAGGGAAGACAAACTTCTCACCATTACCAAAGTAATCACATTGTTTCAACTGATATTCAAGACGATTTGCTTCCTCAGTATGAACTGATCCAGAGACCTCTGCCTGTAGACCATGAAAAGGGCGGCTAAAATTGGTGTATCATGTAATTAACTCAACCAAATTCAAAACATGGAAGCTGTTGAAAATAAACATTGAAAGTAACATCTAAGAACAGTAAAACTAACCTCTCCTTCCCATATGAAATATATTCCATCCCCAACTTCACCCGCTCGAACAACATACTCCCCTTTCTCTGGAAAGCAGTACCAACACATGAATTAATTAATTTTATAAAAAGTCATTACTCAAAAATTTACTCTTAACCAATCACTATGAATTTCAATTTTGAATGGGAAATAGAATCAACAAATTCAATTTTTGTTTTTTTTTTTTAGAGACTACCATAGTGCTTAACTTCGACGATTTGGGAAATTTTCCTCAAAGACGAGCTCGGTAGCCTCTGCAGCAATGGAACGTTACCTAAGAACTCGATCACTGCAAGTCAAAGAAACGAAATTTTTACATTAGATCGAAATCAATCGCAGCAGCATGAATGAAACCAGCAGCAGAGGAAAGACCATAGGAAAAGAAGAAGGAAACCGATTTTCCTCTTGGGTTTCTTTTCCTTTCCATTGGAATCGCGGGGACCAAACAGGAGTTTCAGTAGATTAACCAACCTGCTTCAGTATCCATTGAAACTACGAGCACTAAAATCAGAGCTTGTGTTTCCAATTGATGAAATCGCAATATAACTTCAGGGCCGGCCGTAATGATTAGCTTTTTGAAAAGAATTGATAAGTAATCATTGATATTAAAAGATTAATAATTATTAATAATTTTAATTTAAGATATTTAATTTATTTAATTAAAACTAATAACAAATAATTGTTTTTAATAGCATTAAAACAAACGCCCTCATGTTTGGCAATAATATACAACTGTGCGTAGATGATTATTATTTATATCTCCATAATGTTGTGGGGTGGCAAGCGACAACTCCCTCACACTTGTACACTTGTTGGGAGTCATGTTTGACTTTGAAGAGGGGCGGCGGAACTGACTCAGATCTTGTTAGATGATTCTCCCGATATTTACTTTCCGGCAGCCGACTTTCACCGTCGGTATTTTAGACAGCCGACGGCCAAAAAAAAGGGGAGGTTTCAGCCAAATTTCCGGCGTTGCTCACACCAACCACGTATTGATCACAAAAGTTTTGTTCCCGATAGCTACATGCCTGCAGGGTAGTATTGTAAGTTAAGCTTCACATGGGGAGAAAAGTTCTCCACCAACTCTCCCTTTGCCAACTACCTATTTCTTCATCAACAGTGAATTGAGACACACCCGGTAGCCACGGATCTCCCCTTATCTTATTATTACTTTGCTCATCCCTAATCTTCCTCTTTCTGCTAAACCAGACAGGTCCAAAACTAACATTAAAAAGGCAAGTTTAAGAAAACTATTAAACTCCTAACTCAAAAAGAATTCTAACAAATTACCAAAAAAAAAAAGAAGGTTAAACCCCCATTTTGGTCCCTCAACTATCGTACGGACTCCTGACTTAGTCCCTCAACTCAATAAATCCCTGATTTGGTCCCTACTGTTTACCATTTTGACCCCAATTTAGTCCCTCGGTTAAAAATCCGTTAAAAATCCAGTGACGTGTCATTGATTAACAAAAGCATGCTGACATGTCAAAAATAAAGTGACACCTCAAACGCACACTGGAAAAAAAAGATGACGGGGCAGCATGATGTTCCATTCTGCCCCAAAACCAAGTAAGAAAAAAAAGTGGGCCCCACCTTCTGCAAAGCCTGAACCATTCTCCCCCTTTCTTCCCTAAACCCATTCAACCTAGAACAACAATGCTCTCCAGTTCCTCAACAAGCATCCACAGAAAAAAAAAAGAATTTTTTTATTTTTCCCAGTTCCGAGTTCCTCATCTTGCCTTGCCTTCTTCATCATCATCAACCAACCAAATCCACAGAAAAAAAAAAGAGAATATTTTTTTAATTTTTTGCTCTTGCTCGAACCCAGGCTCTCGAACGAACCCAGGTAGCCTGGGTTCTGAACGAACCCAGGCTCTGGGTTTCGAACGAACCCAGGCAGCCTGGGTTCTGAACGAACCCAGAGCCTGGGTTTCCCAAGCGTCCTGGGTTCGATCGAACCCAGGCTCTGGGTTTCGAACGAACCCAGGCACCCTGGGTTTGTTTACGAACCCAGGCACCCTGGGTTTCGAACGAACCCAAGACGCCTGGGAAACCCAGAGCCTGGGTTCGATCGAACCCAGGGCCTGGGTCTCGATGGAACCCAAGCGTCCTGAACCCAGGACGCTTGGGTTCAGAAACCCAGAGCCTGGGTTCCATCGAGACCCAAGCCCTGGGTTCCTTGGAACCCAGGCGTGGAACCAGGACGCCTCGGTTCGAAGGAACCCAGTAGGCGCTGGGTTGCAAGGGGAAAAGAAAGGAAAAGAGAAGAAAAAAGAAAAAGAAAGGAAAAGAGAAGAAAAAAGAAAAAGAAAGGAAAAGAGAAGAAAAAAGAAAAAGAAATAATTTTTTAAGTTTTTTAATATATTATTTTTTTCCATGTCATCATTTTTTTATCGTGTTGTTTTTTTTTTTCAGGTATGCATCTGACGTGTCACATTATGTTGATATGTCGTTGTGGTCCCGTTAGTTAACAGGACACGTCACTGGTTTTTTAACGGAAGGACCAAGTTGGGGTCAAAATAGTAAACAGTAGGGACCAAATCAGGGATTTATTGAGTTGAGGGATCAAATCAGGGGTCCATACGATAGTTGAGGGACCAAAATGGGGGTTTAACCAAGTTAGAACTATACGTAACTCAAAAAGGATTCACCAACAATCTTGATCGAATAATGAAATCTTATTTCAAAAGGAGTTAATAATGGGATTATATTATAAATATAGCGCCTTATTGAATTCCATTATTAGAGATCAATCCACACTTGTTAAGAGATTAAGATATATTCTTAGGTATGGAGTACAGTTTCCCGCAATAACTTTTGGAAAATATTTTTCAAAGGCTTCCATTAAGATCTTTTTCATGATTCAAAAGCCTATCCAAACACTGGGGTCTTGCCCTTTCCGATTCAATAAAATTAATCAATAATAGCTACGATTTCTTTCTCCATTACATTCACCATATCACAGCGTTGTCTCCATTAAAGATTCAAGCTTCTTTTGATAGCCGTGTGGGGAGTAGCCCCGAAGCAGTAGACGTGTCAAATATCTCCTTGCAACTTCAGACGTAATTCGACACATGGTACATTGTAACGGTATCTTATGCACATTCAATCACACTTTTTCTGGAAGACGTAGGAGTTATGCTTCCACGATAGTTTGGAACCCGTTGACAATGGAACATAAAAACACTTCAGCTGATAGGGCGAGGCAAGCGGGAGGCTTTCGGGTTCAGTTATGATGGCTCCATTAATGATTACAACATCATACACATTACAGGTTCTAACCCGCAATTGGTTTCTAAGCGATGGAGAAATATAGATAGCTTGAGGATGAAAACGGGTCAGTGGAGTGTTGTTCGAAATAACTTCCATGACGTACTACACTGGTTTAGTATTCATGAAAAACAACTGTGTGGGAACGGCTATCTATGGCTGCATCTATTGGATAGCCAAGAAGTGTGGTTGGAATGTGATTTTACGTTTTGAATTGGAGAGAAACAGACTAAGAGAAGAAACTTCTTCATGCGATAATAAGTTTTTCCATAGCACTACATCTCGCATGATCAGTAGCATGTTAGGAGTTTGGGAAGGTTCTCTTTGTTTGCTAACCGATTTTCAATATAGTAATTTTGAAATCTGTGTAATGGAGGAAGATGTAGAGACCAACACTAAATATTGGAAAAAATTATTTAGGATTCCGAAGGTTACAGGGTTGCAATGGGGTAAAAATTGTAAGCCTTTTTATCCAGTATTCACTGTGAATGGACAAATTCTGACGAGTGATAGGCATAGAAGAGGATTTATTCTTTTGAATCCAAAAGATGGACCATTCAAGGAGATTGCAATTTATGGTCTTTGCCATCCTAATGCGTCGTTCAATGTAATTCCATGCGTGGGGAGCGCGGTTTCATTAAGTGCAAGAATTAGACTATCATTTATGTTGGCATTAAACCAAATAAATACTTTTACTTCCATTTAATTTTTTTAAATCTTTCACTTTTATTCAAATTAAATTATTATTTAATTACTTAAGTAGTTAGTTTTTCATCCAATCTTATTCACTGCACAAGTAAGTGAATCACACAAAAGAGGATTTAATCTTTTCAATCGAAAAGATGGTCCATTAGATTGCAATTCATGGTCTTTGCCAGCCTTCGTAATGCTTATTCTTTCTAATTCCATAGATAGAGAGCTATTCCTTACTCTATAATTCAGTTTTTTATAACTTAGCATTGGATATCCTAAATAAAAATAAATAAATAAAAATGCCAGATTGGAGTCAAACTCAAGTAAGGATTCATGCTCTAACCCAAGCCTGCCACTAATATGCAACTACGCCTGGATGATTATTATTATTTATATATTCTCATAAATAAAAAAAATGGAAATAATATTCAAAAATTCAAATTATTTTTTTGAGATACTGAAACCAACCCCCCTCCCCCTCCCCTCTAGTACAGCAGAATTAGAATGTTATAAGCCAGCCAATAATTTGTTGGTCCACAACTCCACATAAAAGAAACTCAATTCCTTAAATAATAACTCAAGTTCAAGTCTCGTGGGCAGAAATACAATCGCTAAGAGAGCTTCTTTCATAGGGTCTGACCCAACCTAATTCCAAACTAGTTAAAATTTAATATGACTTCTTGATATCAAAGAGCTGATACCAAAAAAAAAAAAAAAGAATGTCATAAGTCAATGTTGAAAACCGAGAAATAGACCACGTGTGTTATCCTGCTCAGAAATCCTTTGCATTTTGAGACAATCAGATTCAAGGGAGACTCGAATCATTAAAATTCTTTTCAAGGATTCATCATGGCAGGTAAGTTGGGGATACCCAAAGACAAAAAAACACTCATTTAAACAATACCCCTATAATATTCGAAAAGAAAGAAAACAATAACCATAAGTAATATATTGCCTAATAATAATAATAATAACTATCAACAACTAGATTGCTAGATAAGCCATGAAAACACAGACAAATAAAATGCTGCTTTCTTGAAGAGATTTAACCTCCCATAAAATAGAAAAGAAAAATTAATCACAGATGCTAGGATTTAACAAGTCCTAAAGAAAACAATCGAATCTCAGAAGAAATGGTAAGAACTATCGAAATCTGTGAAGTCAGAAGGAAATTTAAACAGAAATGAGATTTTCTTTTTCTTTTTTCTTTTTTCTGTTTATGAGGATCAGCCAAGAAGCTACTCACTTCTTCTTCACTCCAACTCCAGCTGACCTGCAATTGACGCAAATATTCACCAGAACATTGCAAATACAAACCCTCAGAAGGACAGAGAAATCATAGAACCAACCCAAATACTTGAGTAAAAAGTGCTCAAGCTGCAATTACCTCATCTTGCGTAGAAAATTTGACGTCTCTTCATGCTTCTTCTTGGCCCTCTTATGAGTGCCTAGCTCTCTTTGCCACCTTGAAAGCACGCTTGTCTTTCCCAACTTTCAGAAGTTCCGTAACCCTCTTCTCATAGGGAGCAAAACCCACAACTTCTCTAATAAAGCCCCTTACAAAGAGGACTCTTTTGCTGGTTTTTTGGTAAAAGAAATGCAGAAAACATCCAAACAGATGAATATCAAAGCTGTTTTTTAGAGGTAATATAATGATCTGTAATAAAGATCATAAAAACATACAGATGTGAAATTCATGTACAAAGACTTTCTCATTTGAACAAGTCTGCATGATTAACAAGAATGCTCTTTATAGACAGTGCTTAGCAATAACTCTAAAAAGCTGAAAGCAAAACTTACCCCATTTCTATCAGAAGGAAGGGCAGGGAGGTGATTCCTTCTTCGTCACAACATGTCCTCGGTTTATCACCACAAACAGACCAGTGTTAGGTTGCTTTGGAGCCATCACCTGAGAGAACTGCCATCCCCCAACATCATAAATCAGATTAAAAATCAGTATATGAATAACAAGCAAAATTTGAAAACAGCTGCTGTATATTGAGCACACATCCAATATCAAGGTAGGTGGTAAAATGGATTTCCCATAATTTAACACATGACCAGAAACTCAAACCTCTTAATATTCGGTAGTGTTCTTATAATGCTGAAAAGAAACACGCTACACTCTCAACGTTCCATCAGAAGCAAGGCTGATCTTAAAATAGTTCCAGTGTTGATGTTTAGGATCTCATGCTATGTCTATGTGAAAATAAAAATAAAAATAAAAATAAAAATGACATCTTGATGCTACAAAATAACTAGGACTGGGCTATTTCAAGACCACTTTAAGCTGGATACACATTGAAGCATGTGGATAGCAGAGTGGCATTAAAATAGCCATTCCCAATAACTATCATCTCTAAAACTCCAAACTCCACTATACCAACAACACCACTATTCCAAACAAAAAGAGTAGCAAAACAAACATCAGTGGAACCATATTGCTCAGATGAATATCTAATACAACAATTTTCACCTTGCATTGATTTTTTTTTTCTTTGGCCGATTATTTGAGTTGATTTTCAGTACAGTAAATCTACTAGATGGGACTCATCACACAATGTGTCCTAACTACTTAATATTGAAGCTCAGCATATTTATAATTGGGAACAACTAATTTGCATAGTCCTGCTCCTGTGTTATAAACATGCATCTTGAACTCTTTTAAGAAGATTAATATAAAACACACCATCTGATGAGTCCCATTTAATAGACTTATCGTAATATAAAAATAAACCCTTCGGCCCTCAGATCCATGTAGGTTCCATCAAGAACAAACCCCATTTTCCATTGCATCAACTCATGTAAAATCACATAATTTGTGATCCAGAATCCTCCCAAAAATAGTAAGAAAAACAAAAAAAATCGCTGTTAAACATGGCCACACTTGGACATGTATTTTCTAAAACACCTTTAGAGAATATAAGTTCAAATAAAGCAAATTTAAGCACACCTGGTCTACTAAATGAGACCCATCATGTAAAAAGATCCTTTTGTGCAATGTGTCACAGTACCCTCATAGTGTGGAAAACACTTAGGCCATGAGGTTAGACAACCGTGACATATTAACATGGCAAAATAGATCTTTCCATCAAGTGACAACTCTCAATCTGAACAAGAGTACTTGACCCAGACCACATGATGAGTTCAAATTAGTAGATCAACCACACTAAATATAACTTGATTTAAAATTCCACAAAATTGAACAAATTGGATGGTAAAAGTTCATCAACTTGAACTGATTCCTGCATAATTTTAGGCCTAAATATTCCTTCCCAAGTTGAGAAGGAATAACAATCTATCAAGAAATCAAAACTGAATAATTATTAGCTGGTGCGGAAGCAGAGAGAGAATTAGATATTCCACCACCAGTGCTCGCACTACCCTCTTGTCCTTGCCCTTCTTAGAACCAGAAGTTTGCAGTATTCAATCTTCCAGAACCTGTGAAAGGCACAACTTCCACTCAACCAATTGAATTCACTACATGAATACTATATTCCAGGTTAACTTGGTTATTTCATTCCTCATTATTTCATAACCACCACAGAAAGTAAAAGAAATTGAGACAAAACAAAAAAAAACAAAAAAAAAAAAATTGATGCTTAAACAAGAAAACCTACATTTGTATTCTTGGAGTAGCCAAAATACTAACACTAGATCATTCTCTCCTCAACCAGATAGATATGGATGCTAACGCTAAAGCAGAAAATGCTAGTAACTATATTCTGTATGCTGAAATCATATCCAAACACCAAGAAATCAACAAAAAAAAAGCTAAAAAAACAGCTCAAACAACTGTAAATCGAAGTTCACCGTAAGAACAAGAATTAAGCAGCTTTGAGATACCTTCAGCGAAGTTTCTCACCTACCAAACAGCTCCAACTATGCTTTCCAGGAGAATTTGCAGCTGAAACAAAGAAAAATGAAAAATCAGCTTCAGCAACAACAAGCACAAAGAGATTCGATACAAGACACACAGTTCTTACTCTCCCCTGGGTGCAAAAGAGGATAACCCACTAGGGTTACAACTTCAGCGCTCAGCTTATAGTTGAAGTGCCTGGAAGAAACGACGTCGTATATCTTCAACAACTTTGGATCCAACATGTGGGCTAAAAAGCCCAAATTAAAAAGAAAATATCAACTTTATAAATTATATTTATATAAAATTTTAATTTTTTATTTTTTTATTTTTAATAATTAAATTTTTTTATAATTTTTTAGGTAAAAATAATAATTATTTTTAATAAATATAAATAAATCTTAACTATTA